GGATGGAGTTATGAGTTTGGGGAAGCTTATCACAGTGGTCAAGTGGCCTTCTTGTCACGTTCTACCAGGCTGCCTGAGATCCACCTACGGACCACCGGTGCTGTCAGCATTCATCACTTGGTCAAGTGATGTCTTTCAGGTTTCTCCACTTCCATGTTATTATTTTGCCCTTTCTATGTTATTTGGAAGCAAGTCACTAAGTTCAGACAGTGCCCAAATAATTTTTAAATGTGAAAATTAAAATTATTCCTATTTTATTTATTTCAAACATAATATCCATTTGCAAGATTTTCCAAGTTTATTAAAATTGACTGGGATTCTCTTTGCCTTTAGTCTGTAACACTTAAAATTTTTGGATTCTAATGCTTTGAAAATATTTTTTTTTAAATTATAATTATAATTATAATGTGACTGCTGCTTTCCAAGAAGTGAAATGTAAATCTAAACAATTATCTTTTTTATTTTAAAATGGCACTTACTGGGAAAACACTTTGAAAGTATATCAAACTTTACTAAAACCAAAGGAAAATAAAGGAGAGTATTTCTTACAGTCTTGGAAGGTGGCCCTCGGCCACCTTGAATCAAGCCACCTTTGCTGCCTTAGTTTCCCCATTCATCAGTCATTCTGGGGCTCCTGGATAAGGCTGTTGAAAGAGTCATGAGAACTGGATTCTAGTTTTCCACCGGAACTAGTTGATGCAACTTTGACCCAATTGAGCAGTCTCTGGACTGTTTCCTAAATAATTCATTGAAAATTATGTTTTTCCTGCATCACACAGGTATATTGTTCACATTAAAACTGTAAAATACTATTCAAATGTAATATGTTCCTCTTAGAGTCACACTTCAAGTCACAGAGGCAGTAAAGATTAGTCAATCCTTGGTGTATACAGTGAGTTAGGTAATATGGTAGTGATGGTAACATAACAGCTAACAGTCATAAAATTTTCCCTCTGACAGACACTATTCTGAAAATTTTACTTGCAAATTCTCATATAATCCTTATAGCAACCTCATAAGTTAGATATTATTCTATCTCTATTTTACAGTTGAAGAATCTGAGTCAAAGAGTTTAAATAAACGACACAGTGAGGAAGTGGCAGAATCAGGCCTTTCCATCTACGCTTTCAGCCGGTGGTAGGGAGATTTAATGCTCACCAAATACCCATGTGTTCCCTTTAATTTCCCAGATTCCCTTGTAATTAAACTGGAACCTTGGAGCTAGTTCTGGCCAGTGGACTGAAAGTACAAGTGATGTGGATCACTTCCAGTTTGAAGCATAGAAGAAAGGTTAGTATTCTTCATACATTTTCCTTTTCCCTGCTATAGGCCTTAGGTTGCAATGATGATGTTAATTATGAGAGCGTGAGTCACTTGATAGCAAGCTGCCTTGGGGAGCTGCTGGACCTGCAGTGGACCTTGCATGAAAAAGGAATGTACTTTCATGTGACCAACCACTTAGGTTTCACGTTTGTTGGTAATTGAAGTATAACCTATCTTATCCTGATGATTATCCTACTTGTTGACGTAGAGGTATTCATTTTTGCATCTAGAAATTATAAATTGTAACTTGGAATTTGAAATCCAATATTAACAATTAGACAATTGTCCTCTAACATGCTTCCTCCTTCCTTTCAGAATTACTTTATGTAATTTGTCATTCTCCCCTTCACTTACTTTCTCTACCCGTCAGTCTAAGATGTATTTTCCATACGTGTAATGTTCCTACCTCTTACCCACTTAATTGTATGTTTGTGTATGTAGCATGTGTGTGCATTCATGGGAGGGGAGGTGGGGGAAAGGAAGAAAAGATGACTCAAAACAGTCTTTACTGCTTTTCACCATCCTTTTAAACATGCAGATAGACAAAGTTTAGAAAAGAATTTTTTTCAATGGAATGGTGCAAAATTGATATTTAGAATTGTGTTTGGAAATTTGTTTTCCAATCTTGACATTGAAGCATTTATTGGCTGAAGTATTGTGATTGTTCTTTCTGCTGTGCTCTCTCAGAATTGAGCTTGGATAACAGTGTGGGTCAATATTCTCTTTCTGAGAATATTCTGGAAAAAAAATTGAACTAATGAAAACAGACCCAAGCAGTAGTAGAAATAAATGTGATTTTAGGGAAATGATGCTGCTGACGCCAGCCTCCCCATCTCAGACAAAAATCTACTGTGCCTTGGGCTGCTCAGCAACAAAGCACTGTCTGGTTAGGAAGGAGAACAGCAGCTTGTGGTGAGACAATCCTGCAGAGGATGTCCACTCAGCCTCTGAGACATTCTGATGTGGAACAGAGCACCAGTGATGTGCCTAGGGAAGATTGTGTGTGTGTGTGCGTGTGTGTGTGTGTGTGTGTGTGTGTGTGAGAGAGAGAGAGAGAGAGGGAGTGTGTGTGTATTAATACCAGTCAATGCTGATATTTTAAAATATCATCACTTGATTATATGTTCTCTGCTTTCTGTGTTGTCTTCAGAAATCCTACTGAATAGATGTTGTATGTCTTAAGTTGATGTCTAATTTTCTTATCCTGTCTCTACTTTCTTTCTCTTTGTAAACTTCCCATCTCACCTGAGGCTGGGAAGGGGTAGTTGCCTTGATGTGTGGGATGGAAGAAAGAGACTGAAGTTCTAACTGCAATCAGTAAAGATTTTCACCCATCTCTTTCTTTTCAGCCCATGTCGCACCTCCAAATCCTGAGCCCCAAACTGTCATTCAGTCTGGCTTACTTCTGTCCGTATCTCACCTGCAGACTTTCAGCTTGTAGCTTTCTCCATTCTGTAAAATTTGGCTTCTACTACACATTTTACAAAATTGTGCTGATATATCATGTTTGTAATTACCTCCTGTTCTATTCCCTTTATCCTGTGAGTTTAGAACTTTCCTATGTGTTTTAATTTCATTTACTCTCAGTGAAGTTTCAGGGGAGAGAAGGAATAAAGACACACATATTTAACCTGTGTATTAAATCAGACTCTCCCTGTGACATGTTTATAAAAGTAATAGCTCTGCAAGGTATATATTAGTAGGCTCATCTTACAGATAAAGATACTGAGTCTCAGAGAGCTTCAGTAAATTGCCTAAGAGCTCACTGTTAAGGACCAGAGCTGGGATTCAAATCCATACGCGACTGAATCCAAAACCCCTGCTCTTCACTGGAGCAGATCTTCCTGCAGTGGCCACTAGGGCAGGGTCAGAGGGCCTCCCGGGGATGGTTCTAAGAAGATGGTTCATGGCAAACAAGGCTCAGACCAACCCTCAGGTCTCTTCCAACCAGGTTGTAATAATTGGCTTTGCTTTGTTTGATCATTACAGATGATTTCCAACATGGAGTCTATAATTAGAATATTCATGGTGTAGAAATAACACCCTTTAGGGAAAAATGTAGAATTGATGGGTCACAGGGATTTTTTTAAACAAAGAAAATTAATGCAATATTATTTTAGCCTAAGTGCAAAATAGTGCTCAATTCAAACTCTAGGGGAGGGACATAAACAGAAAAACTAGCTTAGTAACCCAGAGCACCTAATTATACCTTTGGCTACCGATCCAATCAGCTCATGGCACACCCACAAAGAGGAAACCCTGTGTTTAGGTGACTCCTTGGTGAAGCCTCCACATAAATGCTCTGTGTCAAGGAGACTCCTGCTGCACAGCATTTGGCCTAACCCACTCAAGGAGTGAGGTATGTACCATTTGTTTATTTTAAGATTTCCTTTGGATGTGTTATTTGCACATGGGATCACCTTGCCTATATTAAACTGACAGGATGTAAAATATAAGATGTGATATCTGATATATCCCAGGAAAAACAGGGTTGATGACAGAAATTGGTGGTCGTAGGGACTCCAGCAGTGACAGGCTGACTACTGCCTACTTCAGAAGGGGCACACACTGCAGGGGAACTGTAATCCCTTCCCGCAGGCCAACAGGTTTGGGAGAGGTAGCTAGGCACCAGCCGAGACCACACCCTCTTACCCACCTGCTGTGAGGAGCTGGTATGGTTTGAGCAAAGTGCTTGAGGGATGTCTCCTAATCCTTGAGACCCATCAGGGTCCCTGTTGAGCCTCCTTTTCTCACAGCCATTATCTCCCAAATTAATGGCAGCGTTTCCACAGTTTAGCGATTGCCTTGATATAGTTTCCCAGGCTCCAGGGTCATATCTTGTGCCACCGCTATCCTATATCTCCAGGGTGGGGTCAGACCTCACAGGGAGTCTCTGGGTCTGAGCAGGCAAACCAGTCCAGATTCATTGCCTTGGGGTGGGGCTAGGCCCAACCTGGTATTGAAGTTATGCCAGACAGGTGTTTCTAATCACATATTTTTTTCTCTAAGTCAACTGCAAAATAAATTCATAATAAATAAATGTGGTCTCATCCAGAGAGTTCTGGGAGACCTAGAAAAACAGATGATTAAAAAAGAACAATTGAGTTGTTGCTCCAGAAAGGGCAACTATTTGGAGAGGAAGTGTAGTTAGAAGACCTGGCTTTGGAATCTGGCTCTGCCACTTCCCAGCTGTGGATGAAGTCTTATCTTCTTTTCTTTTCTTTTTTTTTTTTTCATTCCCTCCCAGGGTAGTAGGCAGTACCTGACCGGAAGTCTTATCTTCTTAAAACAGGCATCTTCTTCTCTGTAAAATAAGGGTACAAATAAAACCTCATAACATTGCTGTGAGGATTTATAAAATGCCTGTAAAGTCCTAGATTACAGTCAGCAAAAGATAAATTATAGATAAAATAAAAATTATTCAAAGACTCTTTTTCTTTTCTCTCAGATCTTTATCTTGTATCTCAACCCAATATTTAGAGAACTAAGGAATATTTCATTTTGACTTCTTTAAGCAGAAAAGAAAAAAGAATTTGGGGCCCAAAATAACTGTCTTTAAATACTTGAAAGACTGAAAAACAAAATAAATAAATAAGCAAGTAAATAACTATGGGTCTTATTGTGGTGGTAACTTTAGTCTAATATTTATTGTTTCCTCTTAAAAATACTACTTAATTAGCTTTGCGCAGTGGCAATGGTACAGGCAATGAGGTGTATCTGAGGCACGATTATTGCTAATTGAAAACTTTCCCAATACCCTGCCATGACAACTTGAAATATAGTTGGCATTGGCAATTTCAGTCTCTATAAAGACTGAAAAAAAATACTACTTAATTTCCCCTTTTTCATTCCTGTTGTTTGACTATCCATTTTTCCTTTTTCTTCTTCCTCTCTCCCTTTTCTCTTCCCTTGTGTCTCTCCTTTCTCTTTATCATTTTCTTTTTTCATTGTCTTTCTTACCTTTCTTTCACTTTCACTTCTTCTCTCATTTTCCTTCCTGTATCTTTTTCTTAAGAAAACCAAATTGTGGAGTACATAGCGTAAGCAAAAAAAACCTCACATGTATAGTTTGCATAGCTATTGTATATATCAGTTTCAAAAACAAAGCACTCTCCTTTTCTCTGATGTTATGCTTTAATCTGAGAGGCAATATTTACAGAGTGTTCAGTGGTCTGAAGGAAATAAAATATAACATAAAGGTCTTCTAGACATACACAGTATAAGCTTTTACTTGACTACATTCAGTTGTTATCAAGAGCAAGTTCATCAATAACTTGCTGTTATATCAAAATTGGAAAACAAAAATTAAGAAAAAACAGACAAGTATCATTTGGATTTTCAAGAACATTGCAATACATTTGGAAGTGGAAGCTGAACACATGAGAAGAGAACAATTAAGCCCATATGTATTTGTGTTAAATTTGATGAGCACTCAAATAATAGAAGACATTCACAGTGAGCTCAAAAGTTAAGAGTTTCCTTTTATTATTTTTATTGTATACTATGTGTTAATAAGGAAACATAAACTGGGAAAATAAAACCAAAATAGAATTACACAAATACGAGAGAGATCCAAGATGGCTGATCACTAGCAGCTCGGGATTGTAGCTCCCAGTGAAAGCGCAAAGAACGAGAGGACGCCACACCTTCACATGAATTCTTGTTGCTCATGCACCAGGAGATTCCCAGCGGAGGAGCCCCACGGGTCGCCAGCGCGACTCTTGTGACCGGCGAGGCGATTTTGCCAGTGCCTCGGAGCGACGGTTCTTGGTGCAGAGGCAGAAAAACACCATCAATCTTAATGCCACTGATTTAGTCGGTGCAGTGGGTTGGTCAGATTTCAGCGCTGAGAATCAATAAGTTGGACGTCCACTCGGAAACCCAATTACAAAGACGGTAAATACAAAGGCCACAGATGGATAAATCTACAACGAAGGGAAGAAAACAGCCAAAAAAAGGCTGAGAATACCCAAGATCAGAATGCCTCTCCCTTAGCAGGGGATCCCAGTTCCTCATCAGCAACGGAACAAGGCTTGATGGAGAACGAGTGTGTTCCAATTACAGAAGCAGGCTTCAAAATGTGGATAATAAGAAACTTCTGTGAATTAAAAGAACTTGTTCTAACACAATCCAAAGAAACTAAGCACTTTGAAAAAAGATTTGATGAAATGTTAACAAGAATACACAATTTAGAGAGGAAAATAAGTGAATTGATGGAGCTGAAAAACACAATACGAGAACTACATGAAGTATGCACAAGTTTTAACAGCTGAATTGATCAAGCAGAAGAAAGGATATCAGAGGTCGAAGACCAACTCAATGAAATAAAACAAGAAGACAAGATTAGAGAAAAAAGGATAAAAAGGAACGAGCAAAGTCTCCAAGAAATATGGGACTATGTGAAAAGACCTAATCTATGTTTGATAGGTGTACCTGAATGTGACGAAGAGAATGAATCCAAGCTGGAAAATACGCTTCAGGACATTATTCAGGAAAATTTTCCCAACCTAGTAAGGCAGGATAATATTCAACTTCAGGTAATACAGAGAACACCACAAAGATACTCCTCAAGAAGAGCAACCCCAAGGCACATAATCGTCAGATTCACCAGGGTTGAAATGAAGGAGAAAATACTAAGGGCAGCCAGAGAGAAAGGTCAGGTTACCCACAAAGGGAAGCCTATCAGACTTACAGCAGATCTCTCAGCAGAAACCCTACAAGCCAGAAGAGAGTGGCGACCAATGTTCAACATCCTTAAAGAAAAGAACTTTCAACCAACAATTTCACAACCAGCCAAACTAAGCTTCATAAGTGAAGGAAAAATAAAGTTTTTTGTGAACAAGCAAGCACTCAGAGATTTCATCACCATCAGGCCTGCTTTACAAGAGCTTCTGAAAGAACCACTACAAATAGAAAGAAACAAACAGTATCAGCCTTTCTAAAAAATACCAAAAAGAGCATCAATATAATGAAGAATTTACATCAACTAATGGGCAAAATAGCCAGCTAATATTAAATGGCAGTATTAAACTCACATATATCATTATTAATTCTAAATTTAAATTGACTAAATCCCCCAATCCAAAGACAGACAGGCAATTTGAATAAAAAACTAAAACCCATCAGCATGCTGCATCCAGACCCATCTCACATTCAAGGATACACAAAGACTCAAAACAAGGGATGGAGAAAGATTTACCAACCAAACAGAGAGCTAAAATAAATAAATAAATAGCAGATGTTACAATTTTTGCCTCTGATAAAATAATTGTTAAAGCAACAAAGATCAAAAGAAGCAAAGAAGGACATTATATAATGATAAAAGGATCAATGCAACAACAAGAGCTAAAGATCCTAAATATATATGCACCCAATACAGGAATACCCAGACATACAAGAGTAATAAAGAGACTTAGACTCCCACACAATAATAGTGGGAGGCTTCAACATTAATATTAGACAGATCAATGAGACAGAAAATTAACAACGATATCCAGGACTTGAACTCAGATCTGGAACAAGTAAATGTAGTTAACATTTATAGAACTCTCCACTTTAAATACACAAAATATACACTCTTATCAGTACTACATCATATCAACTTAGAAGTTTAAACGAAATGTTGGTTGGCTCCTTCTTTGTTATTCTCTTCCCTCATTTTCTTTCATGTCTCCATTATTAGGACAATTACAGGCATACCCATATTTAGACTGCATTCTAGCCCGGGCAATAAAGCAATACCCCCATCCTCTCTCCCTCTTCCTCTTTCTCTTTCTTCCTCTTCTTTATTCTTTTTCTTCTTATAAAAAAAAAAAAAAAGAATTAGACAAATACATCTAGTTAATTTCTGGATGTATAGCTTTATCTTTATCTTTAGTTCTACAATGTACATCCTAATTTATAAATACACTGTTTTTCCAACAGGATCCTCAATATTTTTCTGTATCAATAAATATGGAATAAAAACCTTTGCAGGCCTATAGGTGATCAGAAAAGGAAGAAAAGATACGGGGCAGCATGATCAGCAAGACCTGATGGTGGGTGAGCTTATGCTGGTACTTGAAGGATATGCAGGATTTAGAATATCAGATAGGAAGATGAGAGTCTCCCAGAAGAACAGCAACATGGAAAACTGCAAGAAGGGGAAAGAGGATGGGTCAGGCATAGCCCAGGGGTGGACCAGTGTAGCTTCCTGTGGGTAAGTGGGGTAAGGCAGAGATAAGGATAGACCCAGGCAAAGAGAAGCTTTAGAGCACCTGTTCATTATTAAGAAGAAATGAATTTGAATGGCAGTCCACAGTGAAATGCAGATGACTCTCCACATAAGGAGAATTTTACAAATTATCCACAGTAGTGAATGAAAAACTGGGATTCCCCTCTAGAGAGCTTCAAAAAAGACAGATGTGGCAGGCACAGTGGCTCACACCTGTAATCCAGCACTTTGGGAGGCCAAGGCAGGTGGATCACGAGGTCAGAAGTTTAAGACCAGCCTGGCAAAGGTGGTGAAACCCTGTCTCTACTAAAAATACAAATATCAGCCTGGCATGGTGGCGAGTGCCTGTAATCCCAGCTACTGGGGAGGTTGAGGCAGAGAATTGATTGAACCCAAGAGGTAGAGGTTGCAGTAAGCTGAGATTATGCCACAGCACTCCAGCCTAGGTGACAGAGTAAGACTGTCTCAAAAAAAAAAAAAAAAAAAAAAAAAAAATTACAGACGTCTGAGCTCAAATAAGGATCTATTGTAGATACTTGCAATGCATTTGCCTTATCTTAGCTCATCTTAGTAATAGGCAATTTAATGATATTTCTGGCTTACTGTTTTTCAAACTGTGGGGACAATAGTCAGTTATGACATTAGTGAGTCATCATCATCAGTTTAAAAAAGAAATTTGAATAAAGTATTAAGAAGTTAAACATCAGAATATGCTGCCATGTTAACATTCTCAAGAGCCTATTTGTGTAAATGAGGATTTTCAATCTTGACCCAATTAAAATAACAAAAACACATAGCTGCAGCATTGAATAAAATATCTCCTAATTTTTAATTTGGTATTGTTTGTTTTTGATTTGTTTCCATTTTGTGTTTATAGATTAGTAAAACATAAATATTCACATTATACATTGCTTTTACCTGATCATAAGTAATAAAGATAAGAATTGTTTCATGAAACTTCATGTTCTTATTATGTGAATGTATATGTACTAGTTGCAAGGTAAGATGTGTTTCTTACTGAGGACAATGGGGAAAAAAGTTTGGAAAAATTACTGAGAACTTTACTTAAAAACAATATATTAATCTGGCAAGTGGTCTATTTTGTTGATCTTTTCAAAACACTACCTCCTAAATTTATTGATTTTTTGAAGGGTCTTTTTGTGTCTCTGTCTCCTTCAGTTCTGCTCTGATCTTAGTTATTTCTTGTCTTCTTCTAGCTTTTGAGTTTTTTTGATCTTGCCCCTCTAGCTCTTTCAATTTTGATGATTGGGTGTCAATTGTAGATCTTCCCTCGCTTCTCTGGTGGGCATTTATTGCTATAAATTTCCCTCTAGACACTGCTTTAAATGTATCCCAGAGATTCTGATACGTTGTGCCTTCAAAATAGACAGACTGCTAGCCAGACGAATAAAAAAGAAAAGAGAGAAGAATCAAATAGATGCAATAAAAAGTGATAAAAGGGATATCACTACCGATTCCACAGAAATACAAACTACCATCAGAGATTACGACAAACAAGTCTATGCACATAAACCAGTAAACCTAGAAGAAATGGATAAATTCCTGGACACTTGCACCCTCCTAAGCCTAAACCAGGAAA